TTCCGAGATATTGGGTTGGCAACTAAGTAATTGCCGATTTCAGTTATAGATGTCTCTCACTCCCATTTTTATGATATCCGTAAATGTTATATTATAAAATTATTATTATTATTATTATTATTATTATTATTATTATTATTATTATTATGTTATTTTTTATTATCCGTGAATGTTAGCAACTGGACAAATTGAATGCAGCGGTCAAAGAAAACCGACCAGAATTGGTCAATCGTAAAGGTGTCATTTTCCACCAGGACAATGCTTGGCCGCACACGTCTTTGTTCACTCGACAAAAATTGATGGATATTGGTTGGGAATTGATGCTACACCCACCATATAGCCCTGATCTCGCACCATCGGATTACCACTTATTTCGATCCCTGGATAACTCTCTTCGTGGTAAAACTTTCAATGATGATGGCGCTGTAAAATCTCACTTAACTCAGTTTTTGGCCGAAAAGGATCAGCCTTTCTACGAGCGTGGAATTTTCAAGTTGCCAGAGAGATGGCAAAAGGTCATTGAACAAAATGGAAAATACATTACAGATTAAACTTCATACCAAGTAAAAAAAAATGTTTTATTTCATTGAACAAATCGGCAATTACTTAGTTGTCAATCCTATAGTTGTGCAACAGAGTTTCCTCCACGAATTTCTTGCGAGACTAACGCCACGTTTTCCTTAGGATAGCATAACCTTACATTTCTCCTTTTCTTTATATCGTTCGATATTTTTCTCTTTCTCCTTCCTTTAAACTTCTTCCTTTGCACTTTTCCCATTCTTCTTTTAAATGTACACACACAGTTACAATTCCTAGAATCAAGATATTCTCACTGTAGCACTTTACAAATTAGGTATAGGTCTGTCTCTTATACACATCTAGATGTGTATAAGAGACAGCAGTTACAATTCCTAGAATCAAGATATTCTCACTGTAGCACTTTACAAATTAGGTATAGGTACTCTACGATCGAGCGTGTTCGCGCCGGTTCGTCGAGAACTCCGCTGTCTAGGTTAAGGTACGTAGTTCAGTAAAGCACCGCAGTAATGTTCACGCATGCTAAAAAACTATGTGACGAATACTGTGTTAGTAAATAATATTTGAAGATAGATGATACTGACAGTGTACGTCGATTTTTAACACGTTGAATGCCACGCCAGTTTTACAGAAATTGTCCGTGGCGCCACGATGAATTTTCTTTTATGTGATACATACAGGGTGTCCCAAAAATGTCCCGCAATCCGAAAGTAGGGGATTCCTGAGGTCATTTGAAGCAACTGTTTCCTTAGCGAAAATGCAATCCGCGGCTTCGTTTACGAGTTATTAACGAAAAGCAGTGACCAATCAGAGGCGAGATCATTTGGCGCGAGACGGCCGAGCCAATGTGCGGAACTGGGCTCCGCGCACTCGTTGGCTGGGCCGCCGCGCGCCAGCCGAGCTCGCCTCTTATTGGTCAGTGTTTTTCGTTAATAGCTCGTAAACGAAGCCTCGGAGAAAATTTTCGCAAAGGAAAAAGTTGCGGGACACCCTGTATAATGTTGAAATATTATCTGCAATAGATAAGTTACAGTGTATAACCATGTTTAACATGTTAATTGCGACAGGGGTCACTGTTTGAATTGACGATGGTAATAATACAAAATTTTAGATATTGACATTTGTTTTAAATTATATATATTTCTAT